TATGCTGTAATTACCATAAATGAATAAAGAAACTGCTTTGGACCTATAGCAGGGCAGAACTTAGCTAGGTGGGGAAAACTAAACTGAATGCTGGGAGAAAGAAGGATGAAGTCAAAGAAAAGCCATGCAACCACCACCAGAGACAGACGTGATGAACCTTTGCTGGTAGGCCACGACATCATGGTGATACACAGATTAATAGAAATGGGTTAAATTAATATGTAAAAGCTGGCTGATAAGAAGCTAGAGCTAATGGGCCAAGCAGTGATTTAAATAATATGGTTTCTGTGTGATTATTTCAGGGCTGAGCAGCCAGGAAACCAACAAGCAGCCTCTTTCCAGCACTCCTGGAGAAGGTTAATCACTTTCCCTTGAGAATGTCCTGTTGAGAATGCTGTACATAAGTTCGATTTGACCAGGGTCTGTCTTTGAAGAATTCACATGGTCAGATGGAATGAGACCAAATAAGATATGTGCTCTGAAGAGGAGCAGCCTGACCTTGGTCTCCTAGGACCGAGTATCTCAGGGACACCAAGATGACATTAAATCAATGGAGGCCCAGGATGAGCAGGTCTATGGGACTTGGGAATAGAACAGGGCTGAAAACTTTCCCAGATAATACAAAGAGAAACTTGAAAATTAAAATATAAAACGTTGGGCTGGAGAGATGGCTCAGAGGTTAAGAGCACTGACTGCTCTTCCAGAGGTCCTGAGTTCAATTCCCAGCAACCACATGGTGGCTCACAGCCATCTATAATGAGATCTGGTGCCCTTTTCTGGCATGCAAGCATACATGGAAGGAATGTTGTATACAAAATAAATAAATAAATAAAATATATAAAATGTTATTTCCAGGTGCTGGTGGCACATGTCTTTAATCCCAGCACTTAAGAGACAAAGGCAGGCAGTTTGAAGTCATCCTGGTCTACAGAGCAAGTTCCATGACAGTTGGAGCTACAAAGAGAAATCCTACCTCAGGAAAAATAAAAATAAAAAAATAAAAAATAAAAAGCTATCATTCCCACCAAGAATGAGAGCTGAGGGAAGAGGGTAAAAGGAAGTAATATAGTCATGTCAAGGAAACAGGAACCATAAGGTCCTATAGATAAGGAGTATGATGATAAATGGGAAGAAATAGAGATGTGTTAACTCCTAGAAGAAAAGTAGATGGGGAAGTAATGCTGGACTATCCTAAGGAAGTGATTCTAGACTAGCCTCAGGAAGTGATGTGGACTACCACGTGAGGGACAAGTTAACCACTTATCCCTATGTGACAGGGCTCCCTTGGCAAACAGACAGTCTTCTTCTAAGCTCTGGCTGAGAATGATGTTTGTTGTCTATATCAGTCATAAATATTTGGAGTATGTATTCCCACTGGCTTCCAGGCAAGGAAAATGGAGGAGATTAACCTCTATTAAAGACCATTTCAAGCAAAGTAAGCAATTAAGAGAAAAGGCAATTTTCAGTAAATTACAGGGAAGAGTAGCGGCCAAGTCTGTGGAAATATTAAAGACATCAGAGAGTTTGATACCTACAGAAGGCAAAGTGAGAACAAAGCTGGACTCCCAGGGCTGGAGAGAAATCACCTGAGGAGTGACCTGACCAGCAATCCCGCCCACATCATTAGCATGTAAAATGAACTGAGGGAAACTAAAAATAGAGGGTATCAGAGAGGAATTTTTTCTTCCCAACAGATCATCAGAGAGTTTTTCCCTCACTCTTGCATGTAGAGTGCCTCACTTGGAAAGCCACCTTGAGCAGTGACTGCTGGGAATTCTGCATCATTCTAGGATTGAGTTAGCAATCTAAACTCTAAGCCATCTCCTTTCTCCTGGCTTCTGTCAGACATTCCCATGGCATTAGGGTTCCCAACCAGGCCAGATGAATCCATTTTTCTTTCACGTTTGTTCAGAATTCAGCCAGGAAATGAGAGGGGTTTGGAAAGAGAAAAGTTTCTGTGTCCTCTGAATTAACTAGTGCCAAACAAAATAGTAACCAATAATAATAATAATAAATATGGGCCACTTTGCAGAGATTAAATGAGACATGCATGGCAGTTGTATTAAGGAAATTACTCTAAATTTACATATAAGGAAATTAAGGCACGCACATGGGTTTAGAACTTGCCCACTGTAGCATAACTGTTGCATGGCAATATCAGTGTTTGAGGACGGCGTCTCTCCAAAGTTCAATGCTCCCCAAAACTGTCCTGTTCTTTTTTCTAAACTGAGCTTCCCACATGAAGGAAAGCCCAATACTGAGAAATAATAAGCCCATTTATCTCATATAAATATGTAAATGATGTGTATTTTCTTTTTAAATATTTGAATATAAAAATTAAAAATTATTTCATCTTTAGTTATACATATCAAATTATGGGAAATATAAGTGAGTCAATATAGATGTAAACATAGCATCTATACAGCATAAGCAAAGATATCCTTCTCCAGCACAAACAAACAGAATACTCAGCTAACAGAGATTTCCACCTGGATCTATACAGAGAGGAACCGACAGCATGTCACATCTCAACGCTCTTAAGAAATAGAGTAATTACATGTTTTTAAAAAATTATTTATTTATTCTTATTTTATATGCATTGTTGTTTTGTCTGCCTGCATGCCTGTGTGAGGGTATCAGATCCCCTAGAACTGGAACTCTGGAACTATAGACAGTTTGAGCTGCATTGTGGATGCTGCGAATTGAACCCAGGTCCTCTGGAAAAACAACCAGTGCTCTGAACCACTACGCCATCTCTCCAGCCCCCAGGACTGTATGTTACAGGACATGCTAGCTTAATTCTAAAGAAAATCATTCATAAGAGTGGAAGATTTCTGTTCTCTGACAGTCGCTGCATGGATTTCCAACACCAACTTAAGCAGATCCACTCACCAACCTTGCATATGAAAAATAGCCTAGAATTTACCATTACCAAGGTCTACAGAGACTAAGAAACTATCAAATCAATCTACTTTACTCTTCCTGACAATTGAGTGTGTTGGATACTTATCGTACCATTTGGCAAAGTTCAGACGGGTGAAGTAATTTGTCCAAGATCAGAAAATAAATAGTAAAGTGCGAGAATCAATTTGGTTTTACGGTTAGGCATATCATATCAACACATGACACAACCAAACCCCAGGCTTTCCACCAACATTCCTCTTTTGAATTATCATTCTCACTAATATGGCAATCTGTCAGTATCCTTTAACTTATTGCCAATTAGAAACTCTAGCATCTACTGAATATGACGGTAAATCTGCTTGAATTCCAATAGGGCACCATTCTGTTACTCTGGGTGGTTTGCATGGTGCCCCCTCGTCAGACTTCTGATCCTAAGGTTCATACTTAGTGAATATTACTCTCACCCAAAGCAGACATGAATCATCATTTTCCATTTTTGTGTCCATAAGAGGCATTTAATCTCAATAAATACATCTTCAAATTGGACATAAAAACTTGATGAGGCAAAATAAGTTCGATACCAAGAGTTAAAAATATCTACATTCACTGTGCAGTGGGGACGCATGCATTCAATCCCAGAACTCACAAGGCAGAGACATGTAGACCTCTGTGAGTTCGAGGCCAGCAAGGTCTACAAAGCGAGTTCCAGGACAGAGGGTTTTGACACAGAGAAACATTGTCCAAAAAACCAATAGAAAAAATAATCTGCATTCAAACTCTGGCTTTTATCTTGTTAGTTCAATCGTTATAGTCAATAAATTTCTCTTTTCTTGTATAAAAATTCTGACCATTCGCTTTACCCGGGTTCTTTCTGAAGAACACTCATGTGTCACTTAACAACAGGGACACCTGAGAATCCATAAGTTCCCTACAGCATAAATTAAGTAATATGGTTGTGTGAGACTGACTAATATACACAGTACATGGCTACTAAATAAAGTAATTGTTCTAAATGAGCATGATGGCACCTGTCTGCATTCTTACCACTCTGTGGATGAAGGATGAAGAAGAGGTAAAGGCCAGGGCCCAAGGAGAGAGTTCACAAGTTAGGAACATCAGCTACTCTTGCAGAGAACCTAGGTTGGTTCCCAGTATCTACATGGCAGTTCACAGTTGCCTGTAATTCTAGTTCTAGGGACCACAGTACTCTCTTCTGCCCCCAGGCTCTGCTACACACATGGTGCACATATACTTACAAAGGTTATCTACATGCACATAATAAAAATAAAGGTTTTTGGTTTGGGGTTTTTTTTTTTTTTTAGAAAGTTTTAAAAGCCAACCTTGGCTACAAAACAAACTCAAGATCAGCCTGGGCTATAGGACACCTTATCTTTAAAGAGTGTATGTGTTTAATTCCAGCACTTGAGAGGCAAGGGCAAGCAGATTTCTATGAGTTCAACACCAGTCTGATCTATTAAGTGAGTTCTAGGTCAGCCAGTGCTACATAGTGAAACCCTGTCTCAAATAGATAGATAAAGAGGTAGATGATAGGTAGGTATGTAGATTGGTAGACAGACAGACAGACAGACAGACAGATAAATATCAATGGTTCTAACAATCTTGATACAGTATTAAGTAACACTTGGCAATTAGCAGCTGTCAGTGACATCATCTTAACTGTTGTAAGATTTACAACATGAATATCTGTGAATAGCTTGGTACAAACAGCAGAGTGCAAGGAGTATAAATGAGGTAAAAACTTCTATTTACTTATGTATTCTTTTGCCGGTGTGAGGATTGAACCCAAGACCCTACCCAAGGCAGGTGCTTTACTGCTTAATACATCTCCAGTCCCAACGTACAAGGAAACGAACTTCGGATTTCAATCTTACACAAATTCTGATAGAGTTGCATTAGTGATAGGCTGTCCTTTTTCTTTCTGATACACACACAGACACACAGAGACATATAAACAAACACACACACATTTTGTTTTATTTTGACAGAGACACACAGAGACAAACACACACGACACACAGACACATATAAACAAACACACACACATTTTGTTTTATTTTGATATTGAGTATTCTGACCTGATGCTAGCAGATTTTGCTTTCAAATCATTCCATCTCTGGTTCATGTCGTCCAGTCGGTGCTGAAGCATTGTGGCCTCCTCAGAATTCCCCAGCGCTTTCACCATCTTCTGCCTGTTTCCATCGATGCTTTTAAATATGTCATTGTGGGCATCAATTTCGGCCTGGATGTCCTAAAGAGAAAAACAAAGAGACAATTCAAATGCCAAAGGTCACTGAGGCATGCCATGGGATTTCTGCAAAGTTACTTTTGTATTTGTAGAAGAGTTGTTTTCAATCGAAATACTTCATTTCACCATCTGTAATATATAACAAAACCAAGTGTTCCCACAGTTCCGTCACAGAAAATAACAGCCTTTAAGTCTTCAATACATTGATTCCCCACATCCTAAAAGTGGAATTTATAATCATCTACATTTCATGTATCGGCCTACTTGATGTCAGTATTTTAGGATGAGTGGGCAGTTTTTGAGGTTTTATAACTATTATTATAAATCACTTAATTTTGCTTAAAATTCATGTGATTATTTTTCTACACTTTACACATTGCCAAAGCAAAATACCATCTAATCTTGGATGTTTTACACATTTTCACAAAGTTGCTTTCCCTGGGTCTGCCCTTTCAATAAGATATAATTTTTTCTAAAACTTCTGAAAAAATATTAATGTGTATATTTATTGTCATTAAGAAATAATAAAGGGAAAAATCATTTTTTTCTATTAAATAGGAAGAAAGCTTACTTGATGGCAAAACAAATAAAGTGAAAATTAACAAAATTTCTTGTAGACAGAAGGACCATGGCAATTTACATCTAAAGCTGGAAACTATTATCAAAGTATCTATCTTAAGAATATTAATGCATAAACACATTAAAAATTGTTTGCTTTAAAATGAAAACTACAATACATTGGTGGTAACAAGCAATTGAGTTTGAAAACCAAGGTCCAAAGCTATATGCTATGTCTACTTAAATGTTAAAGATGATTTTCCAGTTATCGTATATACTCGCATATAAGAAAACACAAATACATTAAAAGACTGAAAAAAAATACTATAATCTTTACGTAAGGAAGTTGTAGAAAAATCTAGGTTTTCTTCTGTGTGTGTGTTTCTGAATCTGAACGGTTTCTACACATCCTAAACAACACTTTCAGTAAGAGACTAAGGATACAATGATAAGCAATAGTCACTGAGAATGAACACATGTTTATGAAATTACCAACGGAAAACAGACACCAGAAGGGGACCCGACAGGGGTGGTCCTCCTCTCCACAACTCATCGTGTAGGTTAAGCATAGTATGAGAGCAATAGGAACGAATCGCCACTGAGAAGAGACGCGTGCCACAGTTCCTGTTCTTCCCAGCTGGTCTTCCTTTAGGAACCTATTACAGTGCTCTGGGGTTTTCTGCCTCCCATCCACTATGAGAGATCGGAACTTTACTCCTAAACGTGACAGGGTGAGGAGATAAAGCCTTGGATAGATGGTCCGGTCACGAGGTAGCATTTTTTCTGACAGGATAAATGCCCTTATGAAATAGAGCCCCCTCCCCCCAGAAGGTTGCCTTGCCTTTCCTACTCTGAGAGGGCATATTGTGAAGGCGTCATCCCTGAGTCAGAAAGCGGGTTCTCACCAGACACAAAATCTGTAGTTGTCTGATCTGAACTTCCCTATCTTCAGAATAGGAGAAAGAAATAGGCTCTACTGTTCACGGTCGAACTGCTTCAGGGCACTTTGTTACAACAGCTCAAATTGAGAGGGCCTCCATTTTCCTGAGATTCTCCAATTCTCAATGAGCATGGGAAAAGGCAAATACATGTTCATAGAATATTCAGGATCAGTTATCTAGCAAATCTAAGACCAGTCGGAAGAACCTTCCTGAGACCCCATCTTTCTTCCCCCCCCCTTCTCACTAATTGAATCATAAAATCTGCGCTGAGCATCACCTACATATCATAGAGAGATCTGTATATAAAACTCAGAAGACTAGTTTTGCAATGCTGTAGACCTCTATCATCACCATATTTCTCAAGAGGCTCCCTGGCACCATCAGCAAAGCCTCTCTTTGCTTTCCATTGCCATGGGAATTTGGCCCCACATCCGCTGCACAGGTTCCTAAGCATCAGTGGACCACACCTAGACTCACAACACAGCCTCAAGCCACAACATCCTGACAAATACCTGGCTCCCAACTACTGCCTCCCTTCATATTCAAGAGATATAGAAAGACAAACAGACAACAGGATATAGGAACACTTGAGTATGGTTCACCAGGGCACTCCCTAACTTGAGAAGCTTGGGTACAGCAAGTGTGATGCAAATGGAGCACAATCGCAGCAGGTGACGGTTTCCGATTCAGCAAAGACGGTAAATGGGATAAAACAGCAAAGCAGCAGAGAATGGGTTCAACCAATAAAGACACATGGCCCTGAAATCTCTGAGGGAGAGCACTACACAATGTTCATACTGGAATAAAGCTCTCAGTGTGCAAAGAACCCTCCCATTCATGACCAACATCAACAGAAAGAAAAATCAACAACCAGAAAGTGAGCAAAACAAAAGAAATCAGCATCCATGATTTTGTTTTATTGACTATTTGATGGCATAGTCTGCCAAAATGCCCAGAATGCTTTTTTTTTTAAAAAAAAATAATATTATGTTTCTTCTGTATCTTTCACAGCCTGTTACACAGAGTAAGCCTAACATAAAACAAAATAGATGATATGAAGACCAATGTCATAAACAAACACTCATACATTTCTTCCATGCAAACCCATTTTGACAGACTGGCAAATTAGCCACAGTAATTCCAGAAGAAGGTAGGTAACAGACTGGATGTCAAATAAGTAAACAGTTAGTTCAATTTCCTCACTTAACAGTCTTGGGTATGAGAAACGTGAAATCGTTGAGAAGCCTGTGCAGTAGAGACCTGTCTAAGCTCTCGGTGGAAATTCAGAATTAAATGAGCTTAATGAATCATGCTCCTTGGTACATAGCTGTGCAGTGAGTGGTGTGACATGTCCAACATCAATATGCCAGCACGGACCACTGGGAGGGCACAACCCTCAGGCAGCATAAAAAGCTAAAATACATCAGAGTTCCATAAAGGAAGCTTTACACTGGTCACCCATCCGGGAAGATGGGCCCTACTAACGCTTACCTCTTTCACCCTGCAAGCGCTTCAGAAGGTTAAAGAGCACTAAATGGTTACTGATAATTAGCAAGGGACTGTAATCCATCTAGAAGCACAAAGCAATTCTCTTTCAGGCTCTTAGCATGAGTCAGTCATGTGCACACTGGGCCCAGAGCAATCGTCAAGTAGTTGAACTAATATCTCCAAGTGGGGCAGGGCAATGTCTTAAGGACTCATGTAAAGGGCTATGCATAATGTGGAGGGCTGGGAAGGAGGAAGAGCTTGGTAAGGAGGATGACTACTATTCGTCTGACTGAACCACCATCAATTGCTTAAGATGCAAACTCCATCACAGCTCTCCAGAACAAGGCTTCAAAGGCTAGGCAAGGTCTTCTGATTAGTGAGCAGTGCTTCTATGAAGAACACCCACTACCTAGGTCCAATAAACGGCATAAAGAAAAGTATATATTTCTTCTGTTTGGTACTTACTTTGATTTTGATATCTTAATAGCAGTTTTGCCCTTAACTGGACATTCCTTTAATAAAGATATAAACATAGATATTATGATGGATAGCGCGCGGGCGCACACAAACACACACACAGAGAAAGAGAGAGAGAGATTTGTGTTGTTGCTTCTGTTTTTGCTTTTGAGACAGGGTGTCACTATGTAGCCTGCATACACACACACATACACACATGCACAAAAAAATTTGTTTGTGCTGTTGTTTCTGTTTTTGCTTTTGAGGCAGGGTGTCACTATGTATCTTAGGCTGAGCCTCCCACCCAACCTTCCATACACTAAGTTTACAAACACAGGCCAGATACATTTTGTTTTCTATGTCTTATGAACAATAGCACCATGATGGTGGAGGTAAAAAATGTTCCTTTAAATTAGCCCAGCAGAAATGTGTAGATATTCTAACAGCACATGATACCACCAGCCAACCTCAGCAGCTAAACCACTGCTAGACTAGATGCATCCTCTTTGAGACCAGTTGATACAACTTTATTTTTGCATGGTTTATTTCTCTACCCCTACATGGCTGGCACAATGTTTCCTCGGGGAGAAGTGTGGATCCCTGTCCTGAAGGTGGAGAAGTGAGATTAGCAATTACTTCCCTAGCCTGCTTCCAAGGTTGGGCTAAATAAGTGAGCCTTTTAAAAAAAAATCCCTGGATCTGAGAGACAGTGAAGATGGAGTGAAAGAAATGCTAGAGGATTATCACCGGAGCCTCTGGTTTTAAAGACGAGATTCACAACTTGAAAAAAAAAATCCCGACATTTTTTTTTTCAAATAAAAATAAACAAATCAAGTCAGAAGTTTGTTTTCACAGGTCGCAAGTTGTAATAAATTATTCAATTACTTATTGGTTTCAATTACTCTATTAATTATGCTTCATACTACATTTTCTTCCAATGATTAGGTCTACAACTTTCAATCAAGCTATTGCATCATATTTTGGTCAACACTGGAATCTCATTTTGACAGTCAGGCTGACAGTACTAACAGTAACCTTTCCAAGTTAAGAAGTCCATGTCAATAATGTTCTTCTCCGATTGTTTGTGATGTAAATGCACGTAAGATAATGGGGTAGAAAAACCTTTGTTCTAGTTTGCCTTTGTACTAAGCTGTCAAGACACCCACTAAAACCAACTTGGGGAGGAAAGGATTTCTTTCAGTTGACAACTCCCAGGTCACAATCTGTCACTGAGAGAAGTCAGAGCCAGGTCCTGGAGGTGGGAACTGAAGCAGAAACTCCTGAGAAACACTGCTCACTGCGTTGTTCCTCCTGGCTTGCTTGTGAACCAAGCTTGGAAAATGCTCCCCCAATAGACTTATGTATTTCAAACCGACGGAAGCAGCTCTGAAATGCTGTGGAGACTTTCGGAGGTAGGGTCTATCTGGAGGATGCACGTTGCTAGGTGACAGGCTTGAGCACTGTAACTGACTCATCTGTGAGCAAACCATCCTAGCTGGCTCCCACGAGCAGAAACACTCTGACTGCCATGCCTTCTCCAACATGATAGACTGCCGCCTG